ATCAAAATTATACATTAAATACTTAAAATAGAAAATTTTGTTATTCATAATTGTTCTATCCCACTATCGGAAAAAGAAAAATGCATCCCAAAATATTCAATAATAAAAAAAAACCCAAATTGACATTTTATTCTTGGCGATTATTTGTCCTTTTTTGTAACATTAGCACTTTAAGTAAATTTGGAATGTGAATTTTAAATTTCAGAGTTATCTTGGCCGAAAATCCAAAACCCTTGCATTTGCTGATGGCGTATGCTCGTGTAGCCACACCTCAATTGTGATTAATTGTGACTATAATTTAAAGGTTGAATAAAAGTGAAAACTAATATTTACTGATAGAAAAGCTACATTCATAAAAACTTAAACTGGTATTGTTATTCAACATGAATTTTCTCATTCTCCTTGTCTTTAACATCTTAAGCCAGAATGAGAATCAAGACGATGAACTTTAATACACAACTCGTCGTAAAGAGCCTTTCATAATTGAAGACACAACTGTATTTTAAACTAAAAATACAGACTAACACCATATATAATTCGTAATATACCTAAGGAATAATATCCTTTAAAGTTTAAAGCCTTAATGCGAGATCTAATGCGTCAGCATTAATGATAGCTGGATTATTGACGGGTTTGTCCAAAAGGTTGATATATGGCTTCGTTCCATCAACTGGAGAAACCTCCATCTCCCTTTGGTGGATTGGTGGAGCAAGAGATAATGTTGTTTCAGCAGCATTATTCCTAGTCTGTGGTGGACCTTGAAGTGGTTGTGCAGCAGCAACCACATGTTGGATAGAGGAAAATGAGTTTGCTCTAAGTCGAGGCATCACCCTACGTTGTTGCAGTGGTGGCTGGAAAGCCCTGTTGTTAACATAGTTTATGGTTTGGTCCATCACCATTGGCCTTGGAAAATAAGGTTGTAAACGATTGGGTATAATTCCTCTTTGAGAGTTGACATGGTTTGGCGAATATAGACTTCTCATCACATGGTTTTCTTCAGCAAAGTGGATTTGAATGTGGGATATGAGTGGTTGAAAGCTAGGGAAAACACGATTGCACAATGTGCATCTAAAACCATTTTGATTGCCACTCATGGGCATGCTTTAGAGCAAGAATTCACAGAATGTGAAACATATATGAACACTTCATGCATACACCCAAATACGACTTTATACGAGAAAATAATGTTTACACACATTAAATGAATAAATTATTATTTTAAAAAATATGATTGCATAAATAGTAATTAATTTATTATGTTTTTAAATAAGAAAAAAGATTGACAATAATACAAAAAGAAAATGTTAAGAAAAGAAAAAAATAAAATTAAGTAGAAAATATTTATTATTTTATTTTATACATTATGAGTATATGGCAAAAAATTACTGATATAATAAGTGTTTTTTTTTTACATATTTATAAATGATGAATGATAAAAAAAATATGATTGAGATAAGAAACTTCATTAAAAGATCAATCAAAATTTGTAACATTTTAGACACACTAAAATGAGAGAAATTTACAGGTTGTACAAGTATGAGACTATTAATTAAAGATGACTTAAATGAATTAATTAGTATTATATATACTAACAAGATGCATTTACTATTAGTAACTCAACTTCATAGTTAAGTATCTTGGATTTGAGTACTTTAGAAATGAATGACCTTATGAGTGAGAATAAAGAACAATAAAGAGTTTTGTATAGGTTTGTGGATATAGTCATTAATTTTTAAAGCATATAAGCATATCAAAAAAGACTACCCATGAAAGATTCTGATCGATGAAATGTTTTGACTAAAGAGGAATTAAGTGAAGTGTCATTGTATTGAGTATCATGGGGTGTAGTTGTTGAGTTATTGGATCTGAAGGGATAAATGGTATCAAAGTTAAGTCCCCTCTCCTAGCATAGTGTGGTTCAGAGACGACTTAAGTAAAAATTGATGAGTTTGTAATATCCCAGACACACCAAAATGAGAATGATCTAGAGGTTATAGGAGTGTGAGACTATATATATAGTTGAGAATAACTTGGAACAATTTTGGGATGAGAGACCTTGAGAAGTTTCCCAGAAAGTGAGTGAAGACAAAATACAAAAGTCTCGTGTAGATTTGTAGGAATAATCGTTAATTGTAAAAGTGGTTGGACATTTCATTAGAATGATTACTCATAGAGGGTTGTGAATAAAGTTATTAATTTTAGTTCGGTTTCTAAATAGGATAAGTTGAACTTAAAAAAGATGGTCTAAATAGAAACAGATTTGCTTAGCTCAACGGGCCAAATGGCCTTAGGCTAGTTTGGCCCGTAGGCTTTAGGTTGACCCGATCAAAAATAATTTAATAGTTAGTAATATTAAGTAAGTAATAAGATGCTTTATCCATATGTTTACATAGATAAAGTGAACAAGGTGATATAGAGGATTGTATAATCTCTTTAGTGAACATGTAAAGCAAACAAGTACATTAATTAAGTTCATCTTACCTACTACTTCATCAAGAGACACTCAACCTCATCTAATATCATGGAGGATTTTCTCATCATTTACTTTTCACGTAAGTTTGAGGAATATAATTTTAATTTTCTATTCATTATTCAATTTTTTTATGTCTTAAATGTAGTTTTTTTAATAGTTTAGGATCAATTTAGTTCACTAAACAATTTCTTCTTTTTTTAATTTAAAAAAAATAAACCTAATTCTTTTTATTTTTTTTTGTTTTTGTTTAGGATTAATTTAGCCCAATGGTCTAATGGCTTGACATAGATCAGGTTGGGCCAAAAAATCACCAACACAAATGTAATTCAGGTTAGGACAAGTTAGCTTAAAGACACCATGTGGCTTGTGTTGGTTGAGTTAATTAGCCCATTTGACTATTATAGTTCTAATTAGTGAAAAGTTCTGATCAACAAAAAGTTGAGTGAAATGTCACTATATAAAATGTTGTATGGTGTAGTCGTTAAGATGTCAAAATAGAGAGACATTATAGGTTTTTCAATAGATATTTGTCATTGGCAAATTCAATAGATACTTTGTAACAATAATATGGTGAAAAAAATACTACTTCAAGAGTAACTTAGTAAAGTTACTTTTTTTTTCAATAACTATATGAACGCATTAAATTTTATTAATTCAAGCCTCTACAAGTAAATTAAGAGTTGTTGATTTCAAGAATAAATCTATCTAAATTTACTTTACTCAATAACTTATATTTTACATCAAATTTTAACAATCTAACCGTTGAATTAAAAAATTTTAATGCATAGGTCAAGTATGCAAAATTTTGAAAAAAATTCAAAATTATTTGACACTCCATTTCATTAATTCAAACCAGCGTATAAAATATTTTTTATAATTACTCATCAATTTGAATTAATGAAATGGAGTATCAAATAAATTTTAAATTTTTTAAAACTTTGTAAACTTGATCTATGCATTAAAAAAATTTAATTTAATACATAGATCATTAAAATTTAATGTGAATTATAAATTATTAAGAAAAGTAAATATATATATATATATATATTAAAAATATTATTAAATGAATCTATATTTGTACTAATAATAAAAGGAATTTTCTCATTTAGTGTCTACTTTTATTTTTCTCATTTTATCATTAATAACTATATATAACCTCTAATAATTTTTTAAACCATTAGAATAAATTTATTATTTCATCTCTTTTTAACAAAGACACATAATACCTTTTTTCACGGGTAATAATTATAGCAAAATATAACAACTATATAGTGAAAAATGAGATAAAATTTATTATTGGTTAGAAAAATTATTTTATAAAGTAGATTTTAAAATAGAAGTTTTCAAACATATAATAATATAAAATATACATTTGATAAATTAACATATATAATAATTTATATTTATCTATTCACGAATGAAAAATACACCTGAAAATATTAATGCTGCACTTAATGTTATAATTTAGTATTTATGTAAAAGGATCAATAAATTTATTTTTTTAATAGAATATTAATTATTATATTTAATTATTTACTAAATATAATAGACAACTAAATTTACAATTAATATTAAATATTTTAAATATAAATATATATATATATATATATATATAATATTATTATTTTTACACATATATATATTAACATTATAACTTATTAAATTTTTAATTTATTAAATTTGAAAATTACCTTACTTTTTTAAAATTTTATTACAGAATTATTACATAATTTTTTAATTATTTTAAAACTATAAATTCTTTTAAAAAAATTCACCATGGCAAGGACCTTGGTAACCTTCTCGATAGCTCGGAAAGTTAGTTACTCTACCCACCGTACTACCCGAAAACCACTACTACAAAGAAAGCCCCCAAATTCACCTATCATCGCCGGCATAACCATAACAAAGAATACAGTTTACGAGTTTCTTAAGGTAGGCGTGTTCTGAGGAGTTTTCTAAAAAAACGGGTGTTTGCCCGTTGTTCCTCTCGAGAGTCTCGATCTTATACTCTGCGTTATTGTTTAATAAACGAGAAAAAAAAAAATTAGTTGTTCGGAATTATATTTTCCAAGAACCGAATTCCGGCAGCGGAAATCAACAACGCCAGCGACGAAGGAGATCAGAATTCGGTTCGGGAACCGAATTCTGAGCCTCAGCCTCAACAGTAAAACGTTCTATTGCTGTAAATAATGTCGGTCTATTTGGGGAATATTTTTTTAAAAAAATATTATTTCTGAAAAAAATTCTACTTCTTCGTGTCTTTGAATTTGTCTCTAGTGTTCCCCGCAGATCCTTCACGTTCACGCGTAACCTGGAACAAGAATCTAATAACATTTGAATGCACGTTTGGTTCTGTAGTCCAATTTTAAATAAAAATCACATCGAAACAGATGAAAAGCAACATGTTACTTTCATTGATTATGATTCACGTCTATTCAAAATTAATCAACATACTCCGAACCTTCCTTCGTAAGTGTATCAAAGAAAGCTTAACTGAACTAAGGAACCTCTGAATCTATGTCTATCAATGTCTGCGATCCTTCTTCCCTCAGTCTCAATCTTTCTGCTCCACGTTCTCATGGCAGCTTCAGATTCTCTTCAAGACACCTATCTCCAGTGCCTCACTCTCCACTCTGACCCCTCTCTTCCAATCTCCGGCGTCACCTATTTCCCCAACAGCCCCTCATACCCTTCCATCTTGGACTCCTACATCAGAAACCTCAGATTCACTTCCGCCACAACCCCAAAACCATCCTTCATTGTGGCCCCCACCCACGTGTCCCACATCCAAGCCTCCGTCATATGCTGCAAAAGATTCAATCTTGAGCTCAGAATCAGAAGTGGGGGGCACGACTATGATGGCCTCTCGTATGTCTCCGAAGCACCCTTTGTGATTGTGGACATGTTCATGCTCAGATCGGTGGAGGTCAACTTGGAGGACGAGACCGTGAGCGTTGACTCGGGGTCAACGGTTGGTGAACTCTATCATGCGATTGCTGAGAGGAGCAAGGTGCATGCTTTCCCTGCTGGGGTTTGTCCCAGCGTTGGTGTTGGAGGGCACTTCAGTGGAGGAGGCTATGGGAACTTGATGCGAAGGTTTGGTCTCTATATATATATATATATATATATCATCATCATCACAAATCAATATATATAGACTCAACATTCATCATACATCATACAACATGTATAATCAACGTAATCCACGTTTGACACAATTTACCTCACGTCCGATGCCATTGAGGTGGAAAGTTCTCTACTACGCTCATGTCTGACATCACTCAACTCATGCTTGATGTGACTCAGGTAAGGAACTCCTTGGACTGCACGATTGGTGTGACAAAATCCACACCTTTCCTCATATAAGAAAGAGAGCCACAATAAATCAAATTAACTTATAATTTACAAGAATAATATGATTGGAGTATATTTAAAAAATAACACAAGTTAATTTGATTTTCATAACTCTAAATACATATAGTACTCCTCACTTTTCTAGCTTATGAAAAATTAGAAAAACGGTACCAAAGTTTAAATAAGGTTGACAAAAATAAATAAGGGCATCAACTTTATCATGCACAAGGATATTGTCGATACATTTTAATTAAATTCTTATTTAGAAATTTGTTAACATATTCTTATTGTAATTTCCAATTAATTTAACTGCAGTTTTAATAACTTTCAATTTATTAATCGCTTAACCAATGTTTTTAAAATACTGGTTAATAAGGCATAAACTTAAACGGGTTTTCTTGATAACGAAAATGAATATTTATTTTAAGAAAATTCTTGGACAAAATCAATATTTAAACTTTGTATAAGGAATTTTTTATTTTAAATCTACATGATGCCAATGGAATCCTACAATACAACTAGAGGTAAAATTAGATGTGAATTTTGAAGGAACACAAACACATGCAGTAAAAGCTAAATCTCGATTCCCAGCGTTAAAATCAAAATATTAGCAATAAATTCAGAGAGAATGAGCATTCTGTTTTTTCACTCTCAAATTTCAACCCATACCATCCCGAGTTCAGTGGCAATTTCCTGTGCCAAAACCAAAACCAAAACCGTTATTATTTCACTTGTGAAGTAAAGTCTCAAGCAGATAAAGTTGGACTTGGTTTCTTTTTTGTTTATTTTTTTAACGAATTCTGCTCCACAATTTGACCTCATTTTGAAATTATTGAATAAAATAAACTCCACCGACTGGCAGAAGAGTTGTAAAATGCTGTACCGTGTGGCGTGGTTGTTAAATGATAAGTGCAAACCCACTTTGTCCAAATGGAATCTCAGTGGTAAGTGGTAACCCATCCTACCCACATCATATACCACAAAAGTCTTGCCACCTTAATCACAGGTCAATTTTCCTTCTTTACGAGGAACACTGCTGCTCTACTGTCACACACGCACTCTACAAATTCAACTCAGATCTCATCTCCCTCTTCTGTTCTTATTTATTTCTATATACATTTATATAGCTTTTTTGTTTTATTTTTTTGTGAGACAAAGTTGGGATTTTTATTTTATTTCCTTGCACCCAATTGGATTTTGATCTGAACCCAGTAAGCCTTTTTTTCATGTCATTCTAATTTGGTATGTTCACTTTGCTTGTGTGTGATGTGGGGGTTGTGATGGATCTGGGACGTTGCAAGATGGGGTGTGTTTGATTTGGTTGTTTTAGTGTCCGCGGTGGTGATGGTTGCCGCCTATTGAATGCACCTTAGAAGTTAGAAGACTCTATCATTTGATTCGTTATTATTAATGAGTGTTGCTCGTTTTAATGCTAATGATGTTTATTTTGCGTTGGGCCAGATCTGCAAGTTTAGTTTAACTGTGTGGCTAATAGTGCTCATTTAAATCCATCGAAGTTTCTGGAATCATATATGTGCAAAACCAATGGTTTACTTGTCTCCTTAGATCATGTTCATGTTTCTTTTAAGGGGTGATTCGGATCCACCGTTTTCACTGGTTTGGCGTAATTTTACTGGATAGCTAGCATGATTGCTATCACTACTCTCTTTACTTTTATTTATTAATATCCTCTCCACTGCGACGTTTAATCCTACAAACGTTGCTGAAAACTAGGAGTGAATCTTGTGGATTAAGTTGTCACTTATTGTCGGCACTTACTAAATTGTAATAGCTTGAGTCACACTCTAGGATTGTACAGGTTTCATCATCAAGTAAATTGCGCAATATCTTATCAATTTATAAATCCTGAGTTCCTTGTGATTTGGCTATTGCTCATTGGCCACTTGTTCTTGTTTGACCTAGAGTACTAGAACTAGAGATTGTTATTATCTTCTCTCTTTTTTTTTTCTGAATTGTGAAAAGCTTTCTTTGCTGGTTGGTTGCCTTACTTACATCTCTTATGGAACTTTGTCCCACAAGGGAATAAAGAAATTTTAAGGTTCTACACATGGATGGATCTGTTCTCAAAGAAGTTTATAATTGGTTTATATTTGGATCGTTTCCCTTAATTTAGTTTAGACATTTTCATAGTAGAAAAGTATAATAATTACCTGCATTTATGGTTTCATTTGTCTTTATTCCTTTAACTCTAAGCACTACGGTTTCATCAAAAGTCAAACGATGACAACAAAGTAATGAATTTCCGTAACTCTTTTGCTGACTTCTCTTCCCTGGTTTGCAGGTTAATCATTTATTAAGTGTATTGTGAGGAATCTGTCTGTCGTTGTTTCTAATTTGAAGTATTGGAGTTGCTACAATAAGTGGGGTTTTGAGTGGTGAATTTGACATTGAATGTCTTGTGAAACAAAATCTTTTTAGTCTGTAACAGAGCAGTGAAAGTTGCAATTTGGATTTGTACTTTCAACTAATAAATGTCGAGGGGAAGATCTGATGGATCTCAAAAAAAGCGTTTAGTGGCTTCCATCTGTGCCGTGGCAATTTTTCTTGGTTTTCTGTATGTATATGGTGGATCCATCTTTGGTTCTCAGAGTAGTGGTTCCACTGCTCTTGAATATGGCAGCAGATCATTGAAAAGACTTGGCTCATCATATTTGGGTGCAGAGGATGACACTGATGGCAAGCAAGATGAATCTTCATCAAGTTTCAGGCAGGGAGATGGGGAAGACAATATTGTTCCAAAGAGTTTCCCTGTAAGTTGCTTTGTAAACTTAGATATAGGGCACATTCACTCGTTCTTCATGCAACATACTTTATCACTGTTACTATCTTTAATTTTTTTATTTTTGCTACTGCTATTTGGTATTTTGGTTTAATCAGTCGTATTAATAATAATGAACCCTATTTATACTGTTTAATTTGAATTCAGGTTGCCAAAGTCATTAGTTCAAGTGTAAGAGTTTAGTAAAATTCTGGAAAATAATGAGTCATGTAAGATGCATAAAATGTATCATAAATGGAAAAGAAAAAGTTGAAGAAAACTAATTCCATATCCACAATAATATCCAAACCAAGCAACATGAGTTCATAAGTGGACACAAACAACTTCATGCACATGATTCAAATATGCTTATACTTTTGGTTCATCAGCAACTCATGGTTACAATGTTTATGCTTTTGAAGGTTTGTGATGATCGGCATTCTGAGTTGATTCCCTGCTTAGATAGACACCTTATTTATCAAATGAGGATGAAGCTGGACCTTTCTGTGATGGAACACTACGAGAGACATTGCCCTCCTGCAGAAAGGCGGTACAATTGTTTGATTCCTCCTCCATCTGGATACAAGGTGAAGATATGATCTTCAACATACCCTCTGATATATGTATTAATTTAGTCCAACATTTGTTATTTCTATAATCTTGCAGGTCCCTATTAAGTGGCCACAAAGCAGAGATGAGGTGTGGAAAGCAAATATCCCACACACTCACCTTGCACATGAAAAGTCTGACCAGAATTGGATGGTTGTAAAAGGTGAAAAAATAGTGTTTCCTGGGGGTGGGACTCATTTTCACTATGGAGCTGATAAGTACATTGCATCAATAGCAAATGTAAGTCTGCATCTTACTTTACTGGTTTTGCCTATAGAGAAATGAAAGCATATATGTTTTATTTTTGAATTGGGAGTTGTATGGATTTTATGTATGTTTATGCAAGTATCTATCTGTATGCCTACTACTAATAGTAAAGATGGCCTAAAAGTTAAAAATAATATTTTATTTTTTATTTTTTAATAAATTAATGAAACATTAGGTATCAAGTGTAATTGGTTAATTTAAAATGATATTAAAACAATTTATTTGAGATAAATACACCTTGTATTTTATGTCCACTTTATTTATTTATTTATTTCCTATTCTTTCATTTTCTCACTATTTCAACTTTTTAATATATATATTTTTTTTTATATATTTACAAGTACATGTTTTTGCATCTAGTTGTGTAATATGCTTTTATTTACAGATGTGGATACTGTAAATTGCTCATATGTCCCCAGCACGAGCTTTTAGAGAAACTGGTCCTTTACATTGTATCAAGTGATCATGAGTTTGATTATTGCTGCCCAATTCTTAATAATTTAATGTTAAATTTTATCACAAGTCAAAAGTGGGCCCATGTATTATACTTGCTTCAAGCTTGTATGAAGAATTGAATGAGAGAGCTAAAACCTTTTATGTGTATCCAGTGGTCTACCCGATAGCTTAAGCTTTTAGAAACACCGATACTTGAAAGATATGATACACTCATTCCTTAAAATTGAAATCAGTTATTATGATTTTCTACGTCAGTACCATGTTTAACTGTGCTGGTTGTTTGATATATTCTGTTTGCCTCGATTTGCTTGCATTTCATGGACAAATCATTATCTCAACATCTCACTTTGCACTGCCAGATGCTTAACTTTTCAAACAATAATCTAAACAACGAAGGAAGGTTGCGGACAGTACTTGATGTTGGCTGTGGTGTTGCAAGTTTTGGAGGATATCTCCTATCATCTAATATCATTGCAATGTCCTTGGCACCAAATGATGTGCATCAGAATCAAATTCAATTTGCCCTAGAAAGAGGAATTCCTGCATATCTTGGTGTCCTGGGAACTAAGAGACTCCCTTACCCAAGCAGATCTTTTGAATTTGCTCATTGTTCTCGTTGTCGAATTGATTGGCTTCAAAGAGATGGAATACTACTTCTTGAACTAGATCGGTTGCTCAGGCCAGGAGGTTATTTTGCGTACTCATCTCCAGAAGCATATGCTCAGGATGAAGAGGATCTAAGGATATGGAGAGAAATGAGTGACCTTGTGGGGCGTATGTGTTGGAAAATTGCTGCAAAGAAGAACCAAACTGTTGTCTGGCAAAAACCTCTGACAAATGACTGTTATATGGAAAGAGAACCTGGTACTCGCCCTCCTCTTTGCCAGTCTGATGATGACCCAGATGCAGTTTGGGGAGTAAATATGGAAGCATGCATAACACCTTACAGTGATCGTGAGTACTCTTTTCTCAGTGTTATTTGATGGTTTTTGCATTCCATGGATTCTAGTGATTTCCTTGCTAGTATCAATTCATAGTTGCTTCTTTAGTGGCATGCATTTTTGTTTTATATTTTCCCCCCCTTTCTGGTGTATTCTGGCTATAATAGTTCTTTTCCTTTAGTTGCACTGGATTGTTTGATTTCCTTGAAGTAAATAAAATAGATGAAGGGAAGTTTGGTTGCATACCGAGACTCTGTCCATGAACTACTTTTTTCTCAATAGAGGAATATTCACTTAGGAAAACTCCTTTAAACAGGGAGTGACAGTGTTTTATTTCCTTTCTCTCCAAGGAAAAACAGGGAGATATAAAATTTGTTTTAATATAGACCTACCTGTTGTACATCATGAGTGCAATTGCATTTCCCATTAACCAATCTTCTTGTTTTATACCGTCCACAAATGACCTGCTATGAGCTGTTGCTGTGAGTACACTTTACCAAAATCCTTAATATCTATTAATTTGGAGTACATTCATAATTTTCCATCTTATGCTACTCGATGGATGCGACAGTGTGCCTTTCTGCCTCTGACTTGGTAGTTACAAGTTATAATGGTAGAAAGTAGAAACAGTCTCTCCCCTTACAGAGGTAAGGTTGGATGATACAATACGTCTTACCTTCCCCAGATCCTACAATGGTGGGAGCCTCATGCTGCTAGCTAGATGTAGAAGATCTGAATTTGCTTTAAGTGCATGCAGCCTATATCCCAACTCCTATTCTGTTAAAATCCGGCATTATTTTTATTTTGTTTAATGATTGAAGAAGAGAACATTTTAAAGAGATGTATATGAAACTTAACTACTGAAACTTTTGTTGATATCATCACAGATGACAACAAAGCCAAGGGTAGTGGATTAGCTCCATGGCCTGCAAGATTGACTAGTCCTCCTCCTAGATTAGCTGACTTTGGCTATTCAAATGAAATGTTTGAAAAGGACACGGTAATCAGAAATTACAATTGATCCTCTTGTTGATGACTATAATTAATTTTTTTTCCGTCAGCATAGACATTTTGTATAACAACAATGTACTTTTAGATAAACCAATTGTTGGATTAAATTTTGTCATGTGCAGGAACAATGGCAAAGGAGAGTTGAGAAGTACTGGGATCTCTTGAGTCCAAAAATCACATCAAACACATTGAGGAATATTATGGATATGAAAGCAAACATGGGTTCATTTGCAGCTGCTCTTAGAGACAAGGATGTTTGGGTGATGAATGTTGTACCACAGGATGGACTAAACACACTTAAGCTTGTATACGACAGAGGCCTCATAGGCACTACTCATGACTGGTATTGAAGCTAGATTACTTGAATTATAAATCTATTGTGCATTTGAGGCATTTCATTTTCATAAACTATTAATTTCTGATATGATTTTATTGTGACATCTGATATTTAGATTCGTTTTCCAATTAGGCCTTTATTTTTCCTATAATATATTACATACAGTCACATTTTATATAAATTTAAATATGTTATTTTAATCCTTATACTCAAATTTTGTTAAAGAATTTGTCAAATATTATCACATAAAATCTACCAACTAGTATTCCTGTTAGATAAAACATTACATTAAATCTAGCTAATAATACATAACTATCTCAATCTGTCACTTTCAAATATGTTATTAATGACCTGAGAGACTAAAATAAGATTTTTGAATTACAAGGACTAAAAACAATAATTTTAAATTTGAGAATCAAGAAAAAATTTATCCTAGGGGTTAAAAACATATTTAAGCCTTTTATATATTTACTCCTAAAAAACACTGTACAGTATTTATCTTAATAATAATTTAATCAAATATGAAATAGTATTCTTGTTAATCTTTAAATAAAGTGTTTGTCAAAAAGCATTATTTACAATCAATCCAGATTATTGATTTATATATCTTACAATTTATATAAAAAGTACATTCTGAAATTAAATATTAACTTGCATTCTGTTCTATGGCTAGTTTAAGGATACTAATGATGCATGATGCTAATTTTTTTGGAGATAAGATCAAAGAGTTTAAGCCGCATCTCACTTGTCATGACTGCAATAATCTCTAGGGATTACAATTTTGTGTCAGTATGAAGTGAATAATGCAGCCTCCTTGATTAGTAAGGATTACATGATATAGAAAGAGTTTTGATGTGGTCATCTTAAACAGGTGTGAAGCATTTTCAACATACCCCCGGACATATGATTTACTTCATGCATGGACTGTCTTCTCTGACGTAGAAAAGAAAGGTTGCAGTGCAGAGGATCTATTAATTGAGATGGATCGCATGCTTCGGCCTACTGGTTTTGCAATCATCCGAGATAAACAGCCAGTGATTGATTTTATAAAGAAGTACCTAAGTGCTTTGCATTGGGAAGCAATTGATTCCAGTTCTCACTCTATCCAAGATGGTGATGAAGTTATTTTTATCATCCAGAAGAAATTGTGGTTGACTAGTGGAAGCTTTAGGGACACAGAATAGGACAACCATTGCATTTTCTTATATATTATTGTCTGCTGCTACAAGGGATCAAAGCACGTCTCAAGTGGTGAAGCAGTAAACAACTTCATTTTGTAGCATTACATGTTGCTTTCTTTACATATTTAATTTCCTTCTTTTGATTCTTATTTTTGGGATGATGATTATTCATGTGATTAAGACATACATAGGCATCACGCTTTTATAGGTTATTCAAAATTTTGCCTGAATTTGGGGATTATGTAAGCTAATTAATAATCAAGACATAGAAGTCACTTATATAAGTTATGTAATATATATACATACCTTTTCTGCCTAGGGTCCAATTTGTTTTTGTTCTTTGATATTTTTATGTATTTTGTTCAGTATAATTTTCTCAAGTTCTGAATAGCCAGAGGCCAAGAAATGTAAATGAAAATTAGAAGCAAGTTATTCTTCAATAAGAAATTAGGGACTAACATTTCAAAATATTGATATTTATTTAATAAGATGAAATTTTTTAATAGATTTTTTTATACACATATTAAGAGATCAAACATTTAATTACATGATATTTGATAATGTCATTTTCTTTACCGGAAAAGATCTTTTCTCATGATATTGATATTTCCTTGTAGATTTGAGATCTGTGCATCAAATGGATCTTTTCATTCTTCATAACAGTTTGCATAATGTTAGTTATCATATAAAAACTGTGCTTATCTGTTTTTATAAATATTAAATAAATGAGTTTTTTTTGTTAAAAATTGTGAAATTTTATAAATATATATTTAAGTATAAAACTTTTTATAAGATAATTTTGCATGACAAATTATTATGAAATTATTAATTTGTGTGATACATACTAGACGATAAATCTTTTTGACAAGAGTCCCAACCTGACCCTACCCTAGTCCAAGTAGACCCTGAGAGTGTTTTTTACGGTCAAACGGAGAATAAGAATGTGATCAGTGTCCTTTAATGGTAGGCCTGGAGGAAGTATGATCAAAAGTGAGTCAATGAATATGATAACATGACAGTTTATGAGGTGCCATGGCAAGGACTAGGACTAGGAGGTGGTAACATTTATTTATTTATTTGGGGAGGGCTACAATATGATGCACAAGTTATTATATCTTAGCAGGAGAATATCATTACAATCACTTTAATACATTAACAAGTTTTCAAAATTACTTTATTTGACATTATAAATTATAAAAGCAGTCCAGGTAATTCATATATACTAATATACGATACATACATAATTATAACATGTAAAGGAATAGTTTATAAATAATTTTAATTTAATAATATGAAGAAAAAACTAATTTAGGACAAATAAATACAGATAAAACTATGAATAATAATCATTATATGATCTCTTTTTTTTTTAGAGAGTAAATCTGTACTAATAATTTATACTTCTTGACTAATAATAAAGGAATATTTCCTTATGGTGTATAGAAATTTTGGAAAATTTTTATCTTTTTAACTTATATATTATATTTCATTTTACCTTTTATAATTATTAAAAAATTGTTCGAATTTTCCAACTAATAATCATTAACTATTATTTAATTTTATTTATATTTATTTTAAAATGCACTAAGTGTCTTCTTTTATATTCATTTTACCTTTTTTTGTTTTCATTGCTAGAGCTGATATTACTCAAATTATGTATTTTTGTGATTTTTAATTGATCTTTGTGAGAGTTTTTACCCCTTATCTTAAAAAAAAATAATCATGATAATGATTTTGTTACACAACCATTTTATTTCTATTACGTTCTAATTTAAATGCAAATTGAGATTGAAATGTTGAATAAATTAAAAAAAAAAATGAAAATTAGAGAAATTGAAAAATCTTCTCTTCCTTGAGAGCATGTTTGGATAAGTGATTAAGATTCACATTCAAAATATCAAAATGATGTAGAAGCAAATATTCATTGCTTTCAATAGATCCATGTTAGTTAGAATGACATGGTACTAAATACAGGTTAATCATGTTTTTTCAACTACTAGACACAACATCATTTAATAAATTGTCACACTATAATTTTAATTTAGGATACGATAAAAAAAAAATTAAAAAATTAACAGAGTTACAAGTTAGAGGGATGTTACGTGAAGAAATAGATTTGAGTAAGTTTGTTTCACGTGAGTCGTTCTCAATTCTTTCATTCACGTTTTCGTTTCTTTCACTCACATTCTTAGTTATCTAGTTCACATTTCCTTTCTTCCTACTCTGTTTCACGATACTTTTCTTATTATTCTCATTTAAGTTTCTTAATTTGTGGTTTTCTTTTTGAATCATGATTTTTTTTATTGCTTTAAGTATTGCGTTCTTTTATTTCTTGGGACTCTAAGCTTGTTGGTTTGTTCCACAGGTTCATTCTTTATTTCATACGTCTCTAGTTCTTGGTTTTTTGTTCAAAGCCCTTTGGTGTGTGTTGATCAGTTATTTGTTGCAACGATCAATTCTGTCAGACACGTTCTGTGTTTCTTGTTGAAAGCATTACATTTGGAGATCAATTCTCATTTTGCTGAATTATTTACATCCATTCCACCAGGGTATGTTATGCATGATAACTTTAAGAATGATGACACTTCTTGCTTTCCAAAAATTAATTTTGCTATATTTTAATGATTTTAGATAGCAAAACTTGTTCCTTTAAACATTTAGAATCAAAATGTTAGTTTTGTTATATATTTTTTTTTTATGTTGTCCAGAGAGATTGTCCATGTTATATTAGAGTTGGATAGGATAGGTCTTTTGTTGCCTCTTTCCTCATAATAGATAACACAAATATTTACCAACATTAGTATGTAATAATTGAAATAATAAAATAAGTAACTTTTATATAAAATCAAAAGGTAAATAAATTATTTTGAGAATTAAGAGTTCTGTTGTTAAAATAAATAACTGTCTTTAACTCGACTAATAATTGAAATAACAAACACAAAAATGAGATAAACTTTTTTAAAATATAAATAAATATTAACTATTAGATAATTATAATGGTCAAAAATTAAAATAAATATATTATGCAAGTTTTTTTTAAAATATATAACTTTTTTAAGTAATCATATAAATAGGTAAAAAAAAACTCTTATATTTCTTTCTATTCTAATAATTGCTTTTAATTATTCAGATCTACCTCCTTTAAAGTAAGAGAATTACATTTTAAAAAATAAAGTGTGATAATAACTATTAATTAAAATATCAATGATAGATATTATTATTAATTTTAATTTTAATTTGAAAAAAATTGACTTTATCATAAATCTTAATTATTATTTTTATAATAACAATGTGAGGCTTGAATATAACTATAAGGTAAGCAACCTTTATAATCATTTGATACATTTGGGTGAAAAAATTGTTAAAAATGTCATATTTGATCCATAAACAATAATAAAGATTATACCTTTATTGATATACACAATTTTTTAATTCCCTTTTACCTCTCATCTATTATGTTCTCTTCTTTATTGCTCCTTAAAAAAAAAAGAAAGGAAAACTTACCACTACCATATCTTTCGAATCTTTACATTCATTATAATTATTTATTAAATTCACATGAGAAAACCACTAAAAGTATCATATTTAAGTACAATGAATATGTAAAATACTAAATGAAACCAATTAAAATACATCGTTGATATATATATATATATATATTTTTTACATTATCAACAGTAAGAGACTATGATAAATATATATTTTTAAAATTTGTAATAAAAATTGAGAAACTTATAAAAACACGTAAAAATTGGATCAAATAATAGTGGCAAAACTCTTTACGTTGTCCATATGTATACTTTTTGCCCAATATAAAATGTTATAAATATCAAATATGAAATATGGGTAATAGAAAATAAAGTGGTTTCCAACTTTTAACATAAAAAAAGTAAAAAAAAGAGTAAACGAGGGAATGATGGTGGCAAAGTGGTCCTCTATCACTCTCTTTCTCTCCACCTTCTTTCTTGACACCGATAATCTCGCTTCTTTCATTTCTCTCTCTTTCTCTATCTGACTCACTCCTTTCACTCCCACATGCCACAACCTCCTGATTTCTCTCAATTTCAGGTTTTCTCTTCTAACACCCTTTTGCTTTTTCACTCCAAATTCCACGTTGCTTTGCTTGGGCAACTGTTGCTCAACTCCTTTTGATTTCGATTTCGGTGATGCTTATCTTCAATTTGAATTCTCGCTTTTTGGGTTTGTGTTTGGTTGGTTAGTGCAATGAGAAGTGAAGTGAAAGTCAATTTTTTTTCGTTGGTGATGGTGATGGTGATGGTGATGGTGATGGTGATGGGGTCGTTGTGGTTGTGGTTGTTCAAAATTGTAATTTGACCTTGTTTCTGTTTACCCATTTGAGAGATTTGACTTGTGCTGTGTGCAATTGAGTGTGCTTGATGAACGTGTGGGGATCACGGGTTGGACCGAAGATCGGGGCTGAACCTTTGCATTCCATGTTGTTTTAGGCTTTTGGGAAATCTAAAAAAGTTTACTTCTGCTTCAATTCTGCGGTTTAACTCTTTCGAACTAAACAGCGTATGATTAATTTGGTTTTGGTAGTTTTCAAGCATTGCAAGTTTGATCAAGAATTTTGTTTTTGAAGTCTAATTTGCTGCTTAATAAATTCCTTAGTTGATGGCTCGCACTTTGTGAACTTTATGGTTGGTTGATCCACATTTGCAATGTTTATGTTTATTTACATTTCTTAGTACTGCATTTGCTCACTTGCTCTGAGAATTTGATCTAGTTGTCATTGGATTATCTATCATCATCATTTTTCCCTTTGTGTTGTATCTTTTATCCCTTTACCAAATGAAGTGAGCCATAATTTTCTCTGTCAATTTTCATTTTTTAGTACCCACTTGTTTTCTTCCGATTTAATGATTCTAGAGTATTTTACACTTGGTGTTTGTTCAAGTTTTGTTTCTGACCAGCTAAAAAAATGTGGTTGTCAGCTTAATTTCGTTGATTCGTTGCCATTTATTTTCATGTTTGGGCAGAAGTAAGATAAGAGTTAATGTGCCTTGGATTCTTATGGTGAACAATGGCTTCTTGATTTTCATTGCTGGCAAAATGAGATTCTTGGTTGAGAAAACTTCTAATCTTTAGTGATTGGTGAAATAGAGTGTGCATAACACAGCAGGCAAAGCTTTCCACTATGGATAGGTGCTGGTTTAATAAGTTCAAGTCAAAGGACAAATCACAGCCTTCAAAAAACAAGGAAACTAGAGGCATTGCAAAAGAAGGGTCAAAACCCCCAACAAATGAAGAAGCACCTTCAAATGTGACCAAACAGAAGGTTGCAGCTGCAAAGCAGTACATAGAAAATCATTATAAGAAACAG